TTTTTTCCTTTATTTATTTATCCTTCTTATTTCATTGTACTGTATATTGTTACTCTTATTTGCCTTGTATGTCTGCTGTACAAACTGAACTGGAATGACTAACTTTTCGCTTTATAATTTCAATAAAGTTTGGGGGAAAAAAACCCCTCTTCGGCCGCTCCGTTCTGCCGTATTTTGCGGCAAAATTCTCCACATCCACCGCCGCACTATGAATTGTGGGATATATGGGACCATGAAGCGTGCACTGGACCACGCTTGATATTTGGGGAAATCGACGGCGCATTTGGAGTATGCATTTGAAGTACACATATGCATTTGAAGCCACGTCGCGTGGCGGTGATGTAACTGCACTTAAAATGCGTACTTCAAGCATGCAGACCCTGAATTGGGACACAGCCTTTGTCTTATTCTGACGTCTGGCTTTCTTGCTGCAGCTCGTCCTGTCAAACCTGCAGCTCAAAGCCTTCTCTTCACACCTGAAACTGAGACTTGCTCACTACGACCACTATTAAGCTGTGTGGACGTAGCCTGATTCAGTCGTGTCTTTGGGTCTGCAGACCTCTTCCTGTCAGTTTGTTTCTGAGCCTTTGGATGCTAAAGGAAACTGGACTCACTGACACCTTGACTTTGTTTGCAGTTTCTCTGTCGGACAGACCGACATTTATGTGTTATGATGGTCTGTCTCTTTTCCACTGTTATTCTCGCCATGTTTGTATCAACACACTACAGTACAGTACTGTTCAGCTGATGCCCATGAGGGTATGGTACCACAGTGTGCTCCAACACTGCTTCATGCAGACAGAGGGGGACGTAATCCAGAACAGTTAGAACACCTGTAGGAATTATTAGCACCAACTTTCAAGGCTGATCAATCTCCAATACTGCAGAACAGCTTTAACCTCCTAGGACCTGGCGACATCACATTTTGGGTATTTAGACCAAAACACTCAATTTCGCTCTACAAGGGCCAAATATCCACTTAGGAGGATATTATACTTGTAACAAGTGTCACCTGGCAGTTTGTTGCTCTCTACCAGGTGATTGGCTGAAGAGCTGTGAAAAGGTAGTGGGTTTGTGGGGTGAAGTCAGCGCTCTTCTGTGGAAAAAAACAGAGGCAATTAATTCACTCGAGTGCGAGTGGGTATACTGTCGGTAAGAGACTTTTGCCATTTTTGTTTGGATCATTTGCTATTGTATGTGCCTATTTTTAAATGTGTCGTTGGACTTTTTTAGTGCGACCACGAATTTTAATAGAAGAATTGATCAAGCCCTAGATTGATGGCGCGCAGGGAAACTGATCAATATTGTAGGTATATTGAGTGTTTGTTTTGAATGGTTTCATAAAACTGATATTTTATTGGGTAATATTTTAATCGATAATCTCGATAGTCTCTGCTGTCCTTTCTTTGTTCTTTTGATTGATTTGTAATTTTGTTTTGGTTAGTTGTCCAGCCGTAAAGGCGGGTATTGATTGAGAGTGAGTTGTGTAAGGGCGGACTAACCTCCCTTTTTGTTTTTTGTTTAATTGTTTGTGCCACTTCCCTTTATCTCCCAGATCGCAGATCATGCATAGCACTGATTCCCAGCTGCGCTGAGACCCGAATTGTTTGCAGTGCGTGCCACGATTGCAGTGTCGCTAAGCAGGGTGTGACGGGTTGCAGTGTTATTTTCGCACCGTTGGTGTGGTAAGTCTCATGTGCAGCTGGGATATCAGCAGAATGTGTTAAACGAATATCCTCATATGTGGATCTCATTTTTCTTAGAAACAAAAATCAGGTTAAAAATGGTTTTTACATTCATCAGGTCCCAATATGCCCAAATATCAAAGAGAAATTAAAAATGCGTGCCATGGAAGACTTTGGGTCTTAGGAGGTTAAATTGTTAACTCATGTTGTGTTCCCTGAAAAAGGTCTTTTTATATAATTCTGACATGTACGTGTTTTTCCAGTTTTGGGTAACCTTACCGTTTTTAACCTTTGGCAGTTCACCACTTACCTTTGTACCATTTCAAGCTGTTCACTGGACTTACACAATTTGAATTGCAACAAATAACTGGAAAAACTGGGTGTTCCAAAACTTAACTGGTAGTGTATATATTAATATTCTTATATGCAGGTAACATGACCCTTCAAATGCCTGTAACGTGAGCGTGCTCAGAGTGAGAGAGGATTCAGTTAACTTGATCATCTGAGTTTTTAAATCGATCACCTGACTCAAAAACATCTCTGATCAATACTGGAGACTCACCAGTTGTACCTTAAAGTCATAACCCGTCAGGATAGTCACATGAAGAACAAAACACAGATCATCACATGATCAGGAACTGATTTATTGACTTTTACAAAAAGCAAGACAAAAAAAACTAAAAAAAACAACAACTAAACTTCGACTTTCACTTTCTTGTGACGTCACAATGTTCTCTGCATCCGGTTGATTACTTTATGATGTCATCATACGAGGAGCAATGCTCATTGACATCAACTCCTGGAACAGAAGCTTACAGGCGTATGGCATCCGCACCAGAGAGATCTGACAACAACAAACAAAGTGAGGTAAACAACACATAAGAACAAAGACAACCAAAGCATCTCTTCAGCTGGTTTTCTGAAACATGCTTGGACCCTGACAAAAAACTCTGGCTTTTCTGTTCTTGAAAAACAGTAAGCCTAGGGACTTCTGCTTCAGCCAATGGAGTAACCGGTCACGTTGAGGAGTTGCTCTCCCACCTTACCTTTAGTTATTCCTTCTAATCTCGTTATCTTGGATTGTTTTCTACTCACTCAACATCGAAAGGGTTATAACCCCTAAAATGCCTTAAGGGAGTGGGAGAATATGCCGAAACAACAAGATAGAAGCGCTTCGACCGCTAAAGCTAACTCTCAGCCGGACCAAGCTAATGCTAGCAGCAACGCAGCCGCTAGCAAAGACTCGGAGATACTCAAAGCTATAGTAAAGCCAAAAGCGGTGATTCGAGAGGACAGCAGACAAAATATGGGCAAACTGAGCCATGAAATTAATGCAAGCTGGATAACATTGCCTGGGACATACAGTGCCTATCAGAGCGGGTGGATGAGGCGGAGTCCAGGATCACCCAGCTGGAGAGCTGGGCTGAAGAGGTGACCATGGCCATGTGCACGAGTCTGGAGGAGTGGAAAAGTCTTCAGCAAAAGATTACTGATCTGGAATCAAGGTCACAGAGAAACAATATTCGTCTATTCGGTTTGTTGGAGGGGGGAGAAAAGAACCCGGTTCCATAATTCATGGACCCACCTGCAAATACCGGAGGATTTTGACATGAAAATTTAACGCGCACATCGCTCGCTGGCAAGTAAACCCCTACCGGGGGCACCTTGATGACAACCCTGTCATCAACTTTCAGGAATATTTAACAACATGGTCCTGAGAGCATGGAAAAAAAAAAAAAAAAAAAAAATCAAAGTAGGTGCCAGCTTCATCTATTTCGACCATGATTATCCATGTGAAATTGTCAAAAAAACGCCAAGAATACAGCCATAAAGAAGCTGCTCAAAGAGAAAAACATTTGGTTTCAGAGGAGGAAGATCAGCCGAATGCAGTGTCGCAACTTCGAGAGCTTCTGGGCTGGCAATCAGCAAAAGGCAACGGCCTAGCCACGGCAATGAGAGCAAAGGATAAGCTACAGGGTTTCCAAAGAGATCCAGTGGTTTAGTTTTAATGAGGAAGCTCCTTTCCGCTCCCTTTTGGCCTCACTTCATTCACCAGCCAGGTGGGAGAGTTGGTTCTCCGTTTACGTTCTTATACGTTGGGACTTTTAGGATGGTGGTGTTTATGTCTATAGACAGTTACTTTCC